GACTTCTAGCACGAAGTGCAGGATGCAGATACCCAGTCTAAATAATATATGCGCTGTGTGCTTATTTTATAATAGCAATAAAGAGAACAAATTCTGCAGTCATCGCCACACTACAACGAAGTCATGAAAGTTTACCAGAATTAATTTTCTTGTCACATTCATCAGTGGAAAGTCGTGACTGAAGAGTAACCATGCTGAACAATGATTAAATATACATTCAATGATGTGTTACGAGAACAAAATACAGTGCCAAAATAGAATGAGGGAAGGTGAGACAATAGAAGTGAAGTGAGAGCTAAGTGCAACGGCGGGTGAGAAACTAATTATAACGCTAAAACTGTGTAGTGAGACAAACAATCATGCTGTGCACCTACGAAAACAATTTTAACGCAACTACATGTTTCTTCTGCTTACAAAGATCAGGCTTATGCAAACGAATACAAACAGCCTCAAGTACTTTCAACTGACTAGCATACCGTGCACGACAAAGAACAGAAAAACTAAAATCATCATACACCTGCAGACACTTAGGGTGAGACAACAAGTGAAGAAAAACGGCAGACTTCTTACGATCACAATCACCATCTGAATCCTTGTCTCCAACAACCGCAACCTCGTCCTCCGTCTCATCTCCCAACTCGTCCTCAGTGTCGTCCTCCGTGTCATTCTCCTCATCAACACCGATCGGTCCCAGGCTCGCTTCATGTTGTCTAACCTCTGTTCGTTGACTCCTCCTTTGATCTTGATGGTAAATTGTTACCATTGTTGTTGTGGTTGTTGTTGTTGTTGTTGTTGTTGTTGTTGTTGTTGTTGTTGTTGTTAAATCTTGTGTTCCCAGTGTCCTCGCCGGTGCTTGACCTCCAGTACTGTAATAATTCATTGAATAATTAGCCGTTGATCGTCTAGGTCTTTGAATGTTGATTGTGTTACTTTCTTTGTTGAATTCCGTTCCCTTCAGCCTTCTTTATCGTTGTTCACGTTCAGTGCTTGCCTCATCCATATATGCACGTGCCACCGACACCACAGACTCAGCCCCAGCACTGCCGATGATAGATGTAGGTGGCGGTTCTGGGGGAGGCAACGGCAAAGACGGCGATGAGGGCATTACTTCATCACAGCGTCCACTTTGGTCTTGAGCTGAATGTTGTTGTGGTGTGTTATCTTGTGTTGTTATGGTGCATTGTGTTGTGATGACATTATGCCCATTACCCGACTCCAAGGCTCTCGATACGGGTAATGGAGGCACTATTGCCGATGACGGAAATTGTGCTAACGATGGCTGTGGCCGAGGGTTCTTCAGTGGCCTGCCGCGTTTGGGTCGCAGTGCCCGTGCCGAGCCAGTCAGCATATGTAGTGGGACGTGCTGCTTGATACGTGCGTTCAGATGTTGAAGAGTCCTACCAACGTACCGACTACCGCATTGTCGGCACTCAAATTGGTATACCAATTTAGATGCAAGTTGGGTTGGTAGGACATCCTTCCTCACCGTGAACGCACGTACAGTTGTGAAAACGGGTACAAAATGTACCGCGTTGTAAGTTTGCTGCACAATTTTCCGTACCACGCGACTCATGGATAATGAGAGGTTACCTTTCCAAGGGAGAGAAAGATACGTGGGACATTTGTCCGGGCCAAAACGTTTTTCCTTTTTATGCAGCCTTTCGCTCATGAGTTCCTTCAATAGATCGTCGGGGTACCCGTTCTTTAGAAAAACGGACTTAAGGAAGTCCAGTTCCTCAGCTAGTTTGGAAGAGGAGCAAATACGCTCTTCTCGATCCACCAAGTTACGAACCAAATTCACCTTGTATTGGTACGAACAATACGAGTCAAACATTATGTACTGGCCGGTGAATGTAGGCTTTCTGTATACAGATGTTACGGTACCCTGACTAGACTTTTCCACAGGGACGTCTAGAAAGGGAAGTTTGTTCGCTTGTTCGTGTTCACACGTAAAACGTATGGAAGGATGTAGGTCATTTAGAATACCAAGAAAGATTTGGCTATCTTCAAGAGAATCAAACCAGGTGAAGGAATCATCAACAAAACGAACGTACAATGCTGGCCACAACTGTTCTGCAATCAGTGACTCGCAGTAACCAACGAACACATTCGCTAAAACTGGACCCAATGGAGAGCCCATGGCTACCCCATCAACCTGCCTGTACATGTCACCGAAGGAAAATTCCACACCAGTCGTCACGAGCAACATCAGTTCCCGGAACGCCGTCTCCGATATCCATGGCGTGTCAACTTCATCATTTCGGTACAACACATCTAGGCAAATATTGATAGTCTCTTGTAATGGGACGTTCGTGAACAGACTCACAACATCAAACGAGCACATATGCGCGGAGGCCGGAACCAGGTGGGAGCGAAGGACGTCAATGAATTCGAAGGTGTCTTTAACTGTATGTTTGCAATAGAACGTTTGCACGACGTCAAGCCAACCACACAGCCATTTAGAGATATTATATTGCGGTGATGCAACCATGGATAAAATGGGGCGCAACGGACAGTTCGGTTTATGTATTTTTGGTAGCCCATAGAGACGTGGCCGGACGGAACCAATGGGCCGCATTTTGAAGAACTCTTCCTCCGATATCTGTTTACTTTCTTTAAGTCTCTTGAGAAAACTATTGAACTTTTTCTTTACTCGAACTGTGTTGTCATGAGTAGATACCGGACCGAGTTGGACAAACTTACTCGTGTCCTCAAGGATGACCGCCATTTTCGTATTGTACTCTTGTGTGCTGATAATAACTGTAGCTCGACCCTTGTCTGGTCTTGTGATTCTAATATCGTTGTTGTTCGTAAGATGACGTCGAGCCTTAAGGTGTTCTCTGGATAATGAAAATGTGCTTCGGTCTGGAGGTTTTTCTGCGTGTTCTTCGGCGATGGCTCGAAGATTAGCCGTACAGATAGCACGCTGATTTTCAGACACTGGTGTAAAATTCTTCATGAGTTTTTTGTGGAACATTTCGAATTGCGTAAGAACTATTTCCTTTCTGTTGTGAGAAGGAGGATTACCAAACTCCGTTCCCCGGCAAAGTAATTCCTTTTGCACAGGGGATAGTTCGATGTTGGCCAGATTAATAATCGTGTCCATGTTGGGCTTAAAGGAGCCATACCGCTTTGCACGCAGCCATTTGATGAACGCTTTTGCTTGCACCTTGGGGTGGTCGCTTAAACCAGGTTTTACTGTCTGTGATGTGTGCTTATCCTGCTAGCTAATGCAGATAACTAGTTTTACTGGTTTTTGCATACAGTATATTATCACGTTGTTGAACGGTTGTTCTCGGTGTGACTATAATTTTGGTAGAGGAACCTGGCACCTAAATTTAAATGCCACATTTAAAAAAGGCAACAGATCATACTGTATGTGAAGGCAATGCGTGTTACGTAATTCTATATAACAACCGAACTCTGGCGGATCCCTGACACCGAAATTCTAATGCACCTAAAATTACATGCCAAAAATAATGGAGTTTATCTTCTCGACAAGGAGTGTAACTTCTCATGTACCGGCATAGCCTAAGCTAAAATTTAAGATTTGCGTATGAACCCTACGCCAATCTAGAAGCAATTTATTGTCATGTTTTTACTCTGTTGTTGCTTATATGCAGGTGTTGTGGAGTGCAAAGGGTATCGACTGCAATTGCACAGAGAAGAAAACAAATTTGAAGTTTCCACCAGCACCTGCGCCCAGAGCGGTATGCGACTTTTCAGGCGCAAGGATCGCAAAGCACTGAAGAAATCCCAGTGTTTCAAGGTAAAGATTAAGTTTGTTTAAATTGTATCATAATCGCTTAGTCCACTCCATAAAGACACCTTGCTCCATTTACAACACTAGTTAATCTTACGTAACTTTGCTCTGTGTAGAATTCGAGCGCGAAGTGCAGATTGTAGGTACCTAGTCTGAATGTGTATATGCAACACACTTGTCCTGCTCAGTATTGTTCATGTTTCATCGGAGTATTGTAACCCTGGGGATAGGCCATGGCAGAAAAGTTGATGACGTAAGCAGCAAAGAGCCGTATTTTGAGTGTTTGGGTTGAGGTGTCCTAGTACATAATGTGTAAATGGCTGCAATGGAGGCTGCGACTGCTTAGAATTTGTTTCATTTGTTGTCCATGATTTTTGTAGAATCAGCGCGTTCTATGGAAACCAGATCAAACGCTCGAAACGTGGCCTCTTTGTTGCATACGCCATTCGAACAGTTCATCACACCTGAAAATGGAGGTGCGACTTACAATCGAGTGCTACTGGCAATCGAGTGCTATTTGCAATCTAGTGCGACTTGCAATCGAGCGCGACTTGCAATCGAACGCGACTTGCAATCAAGTGTGACTTATAATCGAGCGCCACTTCCAACCGAGTACGTCCGGTACAAATCCTCTCCTCGTGTATTGTCTTATTTTTTCTATTAACTGGTTTGAGGGAAAGAGACAAACGGGAAAAGTCTGAAGAAAAAATTTAATGACGATTTTTTCTGTTTCTGAATCTGCTCTTCATTTTGCCAATCAGAAATTACTGGGATCTAACCAGGGGCTTCTTGTCTGGATGCGAGTAAAGAACTCCAAGACAGCTACAATGGATCTCTCAACCGGAGAGGACGGGCCAGAGCAATCCACAGCTGCTTCCCTATGTGGTGAGAAGCATGCAGTACATGTATACTAATCGGAGTCCAGTTATTGTCAATGAAGCTCTTGCACACTACCACATGGCCACAGACTCGAGCCAAGTCAGTTCTTTTACCTTCTGTGCTTTAACCCTTCAGGAGCCGACTGTAATAATCAGAATTCTTCATATTTTCATGTTCGTTGGGTTTAAAACGGTGCTGGAGATGTGATTCTGCATTTTCTATAATTATTCTCCTAGTTCTGTCAACTGTTCTTTTGGTTGTGTATATCTACAGTGTAAGATTCAGTGCATTTTGTTCTGTTTAGTTCTCAAAGCTGCGCCAGCCTCAACAGTGCAATCCATACAATCCAAAGCATGTGATGGGGGGACCTGTGACGGGTGGGGGACCTGTGATGGGAAACTGAATGATGTACCTTATTACACTGGACTCAGTTGAAAAAGAAGGGCCTGGTGGATCGTACCACACTTCTCCTAACACCTCAAGCTGGGAAAACCCGCCGCACTCTTGGTGAAATAAACCCCTTGCGCAGCAACCCAAATTGCCGGGGGAACTATCTGCCAGTGCCTATTCTTGCTGGGTTGCATGCAGATAAAAAGATGGGCGACCGCCATGCTCCTGGTTTGCTTGTTGTGCAAGAGCTTTGTGTTCCGCTGGTTTCTGTTCTCGCACTGCAGCTAAGGCACCAAGCGCCGAAAGTAGAGATTTGCCACAACCGTCCCTTGAAGTGGAAGAAGGTATGTAATTGGTGAAAATACAGGCGAAGAAAGGTGTCAGTGCTTCGTTGCAGGGGTAGCTCACCCCTACTGTGATAAGATTTCTCCAGCACCAAACAAAGGCTCTTCACTGAGAATCATTTTGCGTTCTACCCAATTTTCGGGCATGACCTGGCCCAGCATTGGGGGTAAAGGGGGAGCCGGAGAAGCAGAATCCCCTCCAGAAAGACGTCTTGCTCCATTTTTCACACTAGTCTGTCTTACGTAACTTTTCTCAGTGTAGAATTCGAGCGCGAAGTGCAGACTGCACATACCTAGTCTAAATGTACCGTAAAGTACCGCCAGAGCGCCCCACCATCTCATCCTTTCGCAGTCGTATTGTGGAGGTGGTCTGCTGTCTGTAGGTCATACGACATGAACCTTGTACACATATTCCACGTTTTGCAGTCAATCCGCACCTTCAAGCTGACACAAGCTCCACACAAAAACCTGCCAAGATTCTCACATCGTGCACACTTCGTTGCACTCTGCCATACGATTTTCCTTTCTCTGGCTGTAAAATCAAGGTGGGGCGCTCTCGCGAGACGGGGCGCTCTGGCGGTACTTTACGGTATATGCAACACACTTCCAGTCTTGCTGAAATCCCTTTTGTGTCGCAACCCAAGCTGCCTGGGGAACTATCTACCAATTGCCTATTCCCGGGCTGCGCGGAGATAACATGGATGACGATATACCCCGCTCTTGTTTGTATGCGGTGCTGCAAGCACATTGTGTTTCACTGGTCCTTTTCTCTCGCCACAGATGTGGCACCAAGCTCCGATAGAGAAGCGCCCACAGCAGAAGAAGAAGGTATGTCACTCGTGAAGCACAGGTGAAGGGAGGTGTCTGTGCTTGACTATGGTTGTAGGGGGAACTCAGTTATCACAAGCTCTAATATGACACTGGGGCAGTGCACACGGTACGGTCACTACGGTATTGACTGTACCACTCTTTGCACCAAGTACCTCGTAAATCAATAAAAAATGCACTCTCTGAATTTCCAAAATTCTCGGCTCAGCCACACTTCCCTCACGAGTATATTGTACAGTTCAGATGACTGACCGTACCACGCTAAAGTACCTTGCGATACCCCTGTGACATGCTTATTCAACTTCAACACACAGCCTCACACACAGGCCACAGTCTCTTCACTACTTCACTTTACATTTCACCAAGTTGTCGGGCCCGGCCACGGCGGTAAACACTCCACTCCAGAAAGTCGTCTTGCGTCATTTTCAACAACTTGCTTTTCTTTCGTAAATTTGCTCTTGGTAGACTTCTAGCACGAAGTGCAGGATGCGGATACCTAGTCTAAATATATATGCGCTGTGTGCTTATTTCTTCTCATTTTTCAAGTATCTAAATCCCAAAGCACAAGCGCAAAGGGCCTGCCTCTCTTTAGTTCAGGTAAGCTGATAAGGAAGGTCCAATCGATAGCAGTAAATCTGTGTCGCTTGATGTCGGTTTTTTAGATTTAATTGATGATGTGGCTTCATTTGTGCTTCGCATCCGAAGCACCAACAGATGCGTCAACGGTGAATTCGTTAGCTGACCTTTGTTGTTTCGCATAGCAGTCGGTGGTTTATGTTTTAGATTAGGAACTTGTGTCGATTTTTCCAGAATCTGAAAGAGGAGCCATGGATCACGAAGTGCAGATCGCAGATCCCGGTTCTAAATATACACTGTAAAACCTAGTGTAAGCGAACTCTGTGTTTAGCGACCACCTGCTTTTAGCGACCGTTTTCCATGCACCGACAGTTCTACACAGACACTGTGAGACCTGGTTCCAAAGGCCACCTGGCTTTAACGACCGATTTTGATTGCACTGTAGGGTGGTCACTTAAAGGGGCACTCCGGGAATTTTTTTCGGTAATGTGTTCTCTTCATGGGGGCCTTATAATATTATGGCCTCCAAGGAATGCAGATTGCGAAAACTAGAATCAAAAAGTCGATATATGAAGCCAGGGAGGGCCAAGTTTGTCTCCTCCGCCGAGGGTTTTGATGACGTCACCTGTGATTAGTGCCTTCGATGGTGTTAGTTGTTTGAATTTCCTGATGATGAAGAACGATGTTTGGGAGACATTCCCAAGCTTCACAACTGCGGCCATACTCCAAGGAACCAGAAGGGCCTCCTCAGGTGCCACCGGTAGAAGCGCAGCGTGATGAGGGCCAGGAGATTGGAGCAGCCGACTTCACTGGTCGACAAGGAAGAAACGATTGGTGTCCCTGCCAGAAATGTGAAGTGATGCAGAGGGCAGTCGATTGCCTTTCCTGTCGAGAGAGCGATGGAGCTGTTAGCAATGACAGCGCTTTGACATGCGTTACGCATCACCCCGACTTCCCGTCAGCTTGTCTAAACACTTACCAGCACCTCGTCCGATCCCTCCTTCTGCTCGCGTTTTTGCTTGAGGTACATGTAAAGTGATTCCTTTAGAGGTGTTGTTTTCGGTGTGGAACTAGACTTTGCAGACACGCCTGAACTCGAAAATAACGTGGGCACTGCACCCTCCATGCGACGAGCTTACAAGGTCGCTTTTGCCAGATGGGCTGCTCATCGCTTCGCTAGCCATAAATTCGCTCATCAGATCGCGTTGAAAGCAGGCCGGTTCAAAGTAGGCTGAACACAAACGATCCCACTTTATTGGCTCAAAGAGCTTGTGGGTTTCCCACCGGCGACTCGAGCTGCTCTGCCCATGTTCTTGACCCGCGAAAGACGCAACTCAGCGTCGTGGGGAAACACAAAAAATGTCAAATTTGAGCACGCCTCATCCTGCGAATCGTTTGAACAGCCGGGAGCATAGCACCTTCGCATGACAGACAGGAAATCTGAAGCTGGCACATCGACGACATGAAAGAAAAAACTTGACAACTACCCTGCAACTCTTCACCTCGACAGTTTCAGCAGTGTTCCCATTCGAGCTCCGGGAGCGCATTGAGCTCCATCAAAACCCTCCGTGGTGGAGACAAACTTGGCCCTCCCTGGCTTCATAGTATCGACTTTTTGGGTCTAGTTTTCGCGATTTTCCATTCCTTGGGGCCATACGAAGCCCCATGAAGAAAACACACCACCGAAAAATCGGACACCCGTCATCGCCAAGGCTGGCCACGTGGTGCGAATTTTTCTCTTTGTCAATTTTTCCAGAGAATGCAAAATATCGCCCAAAATACCATGAAAAATCGCTCCGTTGCCATGGTAACTGATACGGCACCCCCGAAGTTGTCATGAATTATTATTTTGTAATGAATGCATGAGTGTGGTCACACACTGTACAGTGTCATGTACCCAGGCATACATGTATTACCAAGAGTACTCTTGGTATTACTCAACTCTCAAGTTTGCACTTCCACAGCCGGCCAAGCGCTAGCCCTTTTTCCTCATGTACATGACTACATGACTACAGTACTACTAGTAGAGTGATTTGTACCTTCAGTTGCGCTGAAAAGTGAAAATAGAGGACTTCTGCATAGGAAAGTACTGATCCCTGATAATTTTGGGTGCTTTTCGGACGTTTCCTTTTTCGGACCGGTTTTCGGAAGAGGCTTCAAAAATCGGACACTGTCCGAAAAATTGGACTGTTTGGCAGCACTGTGTATGTGATGGGTGCATATCCTGCTAGCTAATGCAGATAACTAGTTTTACTGGTGTTTGCATATAGTATATCACGTTGTTCTCGGTGTGACTGTAATTTCGGTAGAGGGACCTGGAGCCTAAATTTAAATGCCACCTTTAAAAAAGGCAACAGATCATACTGTATGTGAAGGCAATACGTGTCACGTAATTCTATATTACAACTGAATTCTGGCTGATTCCTGACACCGAAATTCTAATACACCTAAAATTACAATTCCAAACGTAATGGAGTTTATCTTCTCGACAAGGAGTGAAACTTCGCATGTACCGGCATATCCTACGCTAAAATTTAGGATTTGCGTATGAATCCTACGCCAATCTAGAATCAATTTATTGTGATGTTTTTATTCTGTTGTTGCTCATGTGCAGGTGTTGTGGAGTGCAAAGGATATCGACTGCAATTGCACAGGGAAGAAAACAAATTTGACGTTTCCGCCAGCACCTGCGCCCAGAGCGGTATGCGACTTTTCAGGCGCAAGGATCGCAAAGCACTGAAGAAATTCGAGTGTTTCAAGGTAAAGATTAAGTTTGTTTAAATTGTATCATAATCGCTCAGTCTACTCCATAAAGACAACTTGCTCCATTTACAACAGTTGTTTATCTTACGTAAATTTGCCCTGTGTAGAATTTGAGCGCGAAGTGTAGATTGTAGGTACCTAGTCTAAATGTGTATGCGACACACTTGTCCTGCTAAGTATCGCTCATGTCATGTTTCATGGGAGTATTTTCACCCTGGGGATAGGCCATGGCGGAAAAGTTGATGACGTAAGCAGCAAAGAACCGTATTTTGAGTGTTTGGGTTGAGGTGTCCCAGTAAATAATGTGTGAATGGCTGCACTGGAGGCTGTGATTGCTTAGAATTTGTTTCATTTGTTGTCCGATTTTTTGAAGAATCAGCGCCTTCTATGGAAACCAACTCGAACGCTCGAAACGTGGCCTCTTTGTTGCATACGCCATTCGAACTGTTCATCACACCTGAAAATGGAGGTGCAACTTACAATCCAGTGCTACTGGCAATCGAGTGCTACTGACAATAGAGTGCTACTGACAATCGACTGCGACTTGTAATTGAGTGCGACTTGCAATCGAGTACTACTGACAATGGAGTGCTACTTGCAGTCGAATGCGACTTGCAATCAAGTGTGACTTATAATCGAGCGCCACTTCTAACCGAGTACGTCCGGTACAAATCCTCTCCTCCTGTTTTGTCTTAATTTTTCTTCTTCTGAATCTGCTCTTCATTTTGCCAATCAGAAATTACTGGCATCCAACCAGGGGCTTCTTGTCTGGTTGCGAGTAAAGAACTCCAAGACAGCTACAATGGATCTCTCAACCGGAGAGGACGGGCCAGAGCAATCCACGGCTGCCTCCCTATGTGGTGAGAAGCATGCAATATAATGTGTACTACTCGGAGTCCACTTCTTGTCAATGAAGCTATTTCACTCTACCACATGGCCACAGACTCGAGCCAAGTCAGCTCTTTTAGCTTCTGTGCTTTCACCCTTCAGGAGCCGGCTGCAATTTTCAAAATTCTTCATATTATCATGTTCTTTGGGTTTAAACATGTGCTGGAATTGTGATTCTGCATTTCCCATATTTTCCTAGTTCTGTCAACTGTTCTTTTTGTTGTGTATATCTACAGTGTATGATTCTGTGCATTTTTGTTCTGTTTGCGCTGCATAGTTCTGAAGCCGACGAGGAAAGCCGGAGAGGCAAAAGACACGCACGACCAAAGGAAGGGTTTCGTCCACTCTCAGTGAGTACTAAACTATTTCACGGTTCGCTGGAGACTCGGTTTCATTAATAGAATCAGTTTTCTGCATCCCTAGGAACGCCATCACCCTGCACAGATCTAAGGTGCAGATGTAGATCCAGACTATCTAGGTGCAGTCGGAATTTAGTTTTCTTTTTACCCTAATGGTGAAACGAGCAGGGTTTCCCTCCCCCTTCACCTAACGTTATGTAATGCAATTCAGATAGTATATTATAAAGAAGCCTGCCTTGGTAGTTTTGCAAACATGTTTTTCGATTTTGACAGCATGTTACAAGGCGAGGACGCATAGTGCTCCTGACTACAACCATAATCTGGTTGGCAGAGTATTCAGATAATACAATTTATTATCTTTCCAGCAAAACCTCCCTACAGTCAGCCTTGCGAATAATGTGCCTCGATTGTTCATGGGGAAAGTGTCCTATTCTCGAGTTTGCTTTATTCAGAATGTTGAAAAGAGCAGTGAGATTATCTGAAGATTGCGGTACTGTCCGAAGTATACGCTGCACTGGAGTGAAACGCACATTCAAATTTGTTGGTCAAGAAATCAAGACACCTATCCTGCCTATCACCATTTATTTGATTATCACAGTATAGACCGCACTGACGTGTTTGAGGGTTAATTGCTGGCTCATTCCAATAAATATGGTATGTGTGTGTGTGTGTGTGTGTGTGTGTGTGTGTGTGTGTGTCTGTCTGTTTGTGAATGGATGTGTACGTGTGTCTATTTAAACACGCAGATAATAGAAAGGACAAGCAACCTCATTAGCTGATAGCAGTTATCAAACACTCTCTTCACACCAGGGGCGTGGTGTACATCGTGTCTGCGTGTGTGTGTGTGTGTGTGTGTGTGTGTATGTGCAACATCGTCACTCGTCAGTCACCTAAAATGTCCAGAGACTTGCCTACTCTTTGTCCTGCAACTGTCCAGAAGAGAGGACGGCTACTCAGGAATTATTGTAGTTTCTCGCTGGACAATGGGGATCTAGCGCGGTTTGTGGCTCCTAGAACATTCAGGACTGGATTTGGCGAGACAGCCATATCGCTATTCAAAACACACCCAATTGGAAAGAACGTTAACATCGTACTTCTGTAATCTTGTAGACGACTTTGAGATGCTAACGCGCGTGTGCACGAGCGTGTGCATATGTACATATGTGTGTGTGTGTGTGTGTGTGTGTGTGTGTGTGTGTGTGTGTGTGTGTGTGTGTGTGTGTGTGTGTGTGTGTGTGTGTGTGTGTGTGTGTGTGTGTGTGTGTGTGTGTGTGTGTGTGTGTGTGTGTGTGTGTGTGTGTGTGTGTGTGTGTGTGTGTGTGTGTGTGTGTGTGTGTGTGTGTGTGTGTGTGTGTGTGTGTGTGTGTGTGTGTGTGTGTGTGTGTGTGTGTGTGTGTGTGTGTGTGTGTGTGTGTGTGTGTGTGTGTGTGTGTGTGTGTGTGTGTGTGTGTGTGTGTGTTCGCATGCTTTAAAGTAGATGTTTAGATATGTATCAGAATATGTGTGCACGTGTACTATTTTTTGCTGTTTCTTGTACATCCCAAGAGTGTGTAAGTCCACTATGGGTGCTACACTGACCTGATTCATTGCAAGTTAGCATCACTTTGGTGTTGCAGTGTGCATTGTCTGAAGGTATGATTGTATTTTCAGACTAAAGTAAGTGGATCTACATGATTGTACTGGCTTTGAGGTGACATGTGTACGTGGTTGTGTGAATATCAAGCGTGGTGTGGTGTGGTGCGATGAGATGGGTGGGTGTGTGGGGATTGGGGGGGGGGGGGGAGGGGGGGGGGGAGAGGGGGGGGGAGGGGGGGCAGGGTTAACTAGCGAGGTACCTACACCACCATATCTAGGGACATGTCCCGGCCCAAGACAGAAAAGGCTGGCGCACCCTGAAGGCAACTTGCTAGAACCAAACTGTTCAAACCACTCCAGACCGAATATTCAGAAATGACGAGACAACTCACCAGCTATTATCAATGAACTAATCATTTTCACCTTTCTGTAGTGCATCCAATCGATACCGGCTCTTCTGCTCTACAGCATTGTTCCTCAAGATTCTGAGCTTTCTGTTTGTCTTTCTCTTTGTCATCATCCTGAATGGCACAAGTGAAGTAGGCATCCCCGCTTACATCGCGATAGTGCTTATAATAATATATGTTGGACTCAGTAGAGCGTCCAGCCCCTATATGATGTCCAACCCCTATAGAGAGTGCTTATAATATTATATTATGCTAGTGCGTATAATATAATATTATAAGCACTATCGCGATGTAAGCGGGGATGCCTACTTCACTTGTGCCATTCAGGATGATGATAAAGAGAAAGACAAACAGAAAGCTCAGAATCTTGAGGAACAATGGACATATATTATAATTTGAAACTCGGGTATTGAGCCAATAATAAAAGTAGAAAGGAAAAGGACATAATGGAAACGAGTTAAGAGTAACTCTCCACCACTGTAACTAGATACTATATACAGTCAGAAAGTGCAACAACTTGGCACAAAACTGACAGAGTACTGAGACATTCGACGTCCTGACACCTAGCTTCAACACATCTCCGTAGCGCTAACCGACAGCCTTCCAACTTGGAAGGTTCAAGGTTATGGCAAGACCAAAGGGGAAGGCAAGCGCAACGAAAACGAGCACAAGCTTCAGTCCCAACGGAACAAAGAATGTCGATTGTCACTGGACGATGACGAGACCAGTAGGCGATTTGACAAAGCGGTCTAACTGTATGTAGAAATTTATTTAACGTCGCACCACAAACAGGCGATTTCGCCTCCTTTGATACATGTGGACGACAGAAGGAATGAGAGAGAGAGAGGGGGGGACAGAAGTATGGGGAGAGGAAGGGTAGAAATAAATAAGCAATCAACCTCAGGGCTACACCAAAGCAAAAACGGAATCGGAACATACTATATACAAAATAGCTTCATACATATATTGCAAAACACGTTTACTATTCTTCAGTCCGCTATACCACAGAAACACACTAGCCGAAAAGCATTTAAACGGAGCCATGATGCGCTTTTAGCAGGGCACAGAACTGAAGGTGGCTGGGCTCGGAACGGAGATCAGGCGGGAGCTGGTTCCACAGGACTGCGCCGATGAACTGCATGGTCGCTCGACCCGCAGGACCGGGCCAAAATGGTACTCGAACGAGGTGTTGTGCTGCTCCCCGAGTGCGGTCACCAGTAACTCTCACGAAGAAGCTGGTGAAGAGGGAGCTAGCTCGGGAGAACAGACAACGACGGACAAAGATGAGGAGCTTAATGTTAAACATGTCCTCCAGGGTGGTGAGGCGAAGCTGTTCAAAGATCGGGCTCGTGCGCGACCACGGTGGCAGACCGAAGAAGCCGCGGATAGCGCACTTCGTTAGACGTGTGACGTGTGAGGGGCTAACTACAATTCGAAGCAGCAAAGCAGCACACCACCCAACTTGGGTGGGTCAAAAATATCAAAGATAAGTTAAGAAGGGGGAAGCTTTGCGAGAACGAATTGTACAAGCCTTCTTAACTTATCTTTGATATTTTTGACCCACCCAAGTTGGGTGGTGTGCTGCTTTGCTGCTTCGAATTGTAGTTAGACCGCTTTGTCAAATCGCCTACTGGTCTCGTCATCGTCCAGTGACAATCGACATTCTTTGTTCCGTTGGGACTGTAGCTTGTGCTCGTTTTCGTTGCGCTTGCCTTCCCCTCTTTGGTCTTTCCATAACCTTGAACCTTCCAAGTTGGAAGGCTATCGGTTAGCGCTACGGAGATGTGTTGAAGCTAGGTGTCAGGACGTCGAATGTCTCAGTACTCTGTCAGTTTTGTGCCAAGTTGTTGCACTTTCTGACTGTATATAGTATCTAGTTACAGTGGTGGAGAGTTACTCTTAACTCGTTTCCATATGTCCTTTTCCTTTCTACATAATTATATTATAATTAAATTATATAATATAATTATAATATATGTCCCGAGGTTGCTGGGTGGGTACGACAGCCCCAGCGCTAGAAGGTGGGCTTTCTGTTGCATCGTCTCTCTTGCATGCAACTACTTGAGAAAACCGTGTACTTACCCCCGCATGCACCATTGTTCACAGGCGAATTATCAAACACGTCCTGTGCCGCATGCTGATCAGGTAGTGCCATATATGTGGCACATAATATGCCTTATACCATGGTACGGTACGGAGGGCCTGTTTTCAGCCAATCAGCGCTCGTCTAGCCATGGTTATATTGGCCAGTATAAATCCCGCGCGGGATTTATATAGAATATAAATCCCGGTGCACGGTACATACGCTAGGGCACTGCCACCGTACAAGTTCACTGCCTGAAAGTCAGTGAACTTGTACGGCGGCAGTACTCCAGCGCACGGACCATACATAAACAGACACAACGGACACCACATGCGCGTGTACACTCCACACAGAACGGCACACTGACGAGGAACAGTACACAATGGAAAAGAAGAATGACCTGGAATTCGTCTACAGAGTATTCTGTTATACTGAATCTGAGGATAAAGAACGTCGAATAACCACGAAGTATCCCGAATGGGTCAGCAATGTACATTGTACTTCGAAGAGTTGAAGATCATCAACGGACTGTCTCCTTCGTAAATAAGTTTATGATACCAGTGTACATGTACTTCAACCCGATTGGAAAAGGCTACAATAGATTGGATTGAAATGTGATACAAAACAGTGTATGCAAATGCATCTACTTGCAAGCAAAACTGATTATGAGATGCCGCATGTGAAAATCAGCACTGTACCATAATTATAGTAACACTTACTCCCAAAGAGTCCAAGCTGTAATCTAACTAGTGACGGTAGTTTGATTCAACGACAAACTCCAGCACCGCAGCAATTCAGTCGACTTCCGCACCGCTCACGACTCAAGACAAGATCATGAAGATGCTACAATATGCACTGGAACTGAAAGGAAATCTTATGCCAAACATCCACGGAGGAATCTCCTTCTGACCTTGCTCGATCATTCTTTCAATTGACAACTGATAACCATCAGAAGATGTTCATGTACTGCATGATGTAGGAGATCTCCAAATAGGTTCGTTGTTCTGGAAATGCGTAGGGGTACCTGGCATAAGTAGGATATGACCCTCGTAGTCGGGTTATACCGTACCCTCATATAAATCCCTCCTGCTATCGCAGTCGGGATTTATATTCAGCCGGTATAACCCTCTGACTCGGGTTATATCCTCTACATATATGTGCCATATACTATGTTATCACTCTTCTATATCGACCTCCACTAATTCTCGTGATCCTTGACTGGTCCTATATCACCCGTATCGCCGCAATATCGACCGCTTATATCGACCGCTTGTATCGACCAATTAGGCATTGTTATCTTTCGACTTTGGAGGGACTTAGAATGTTTCTCTCCACTTCAAAAAGAAAAATTGAAAGAAAGAAGACAAAGGAAGAGAACAAGCAGGATTCGAACCCACAACAGTATGAATCTCAAGCAACCTCTTATACCACCCAGCCACTGTGCTGCAGATGCTGAGCTCTGTTGTTCTTACAGTCTTGTACCCAAAATAGGCAACATCCTATCCTATGTATAGTTCAAATGCTATACTAAAAAGGTTAAAATAGCTCCTAAAGGTTCAAATTTTGGGGTTATGGCAAAGGAATCGTGATAAATAGGATATTGACCTCGACTTCGGTCTATATGGGAAATATAGGCCTCGTAAAAGACCTCGGCGGACCTCGGTCTTTTACTCGGCCTATATTTCCCATATAGACCTCGTCTTGGTCAATATCCTATACGTATAATTATGGTATATGGTACTGTAAAAGCAGAAATTTTCGGTGGTGTAATATTTTCGGTATTATCCAAAGTCGGCGGTTCGGTAGAGGGAAATTTTCAGTAAAACCCGTTCTCCAGGGAAGTGTACTAGTACTACAGTAACCATGTGCCGGCTTTCAGCCAACCTGGAGACAAAGAAAAGAGCAGCGGGACAGGCCCCTCTCCTGATGACGATGGCTTCAGACTGGCAGCAGGCAAACACACCTTCTCCGCCACTATCCTATCAGGGCGCACTGAGCCACCTGCCTCTGCCTTGAACGACCCGCAAATTGCGTGGGCTAAGGAGTGTTCAAACCGTGAGCGCAAGAAGCTGGCAGAGAGAGTTGAAGCTGCCCGCAGAGGAAGCCATTAGTGCAATGAAGGTAATTACGGTT